TCCGATCGCTGCCTTTTTCTGTTGCACGTACACAGGATCTGCTTCCTGAATCACCACGCAAACAGGCTTCTCTTTTGTTTGTTTGAGGTCATCACTGATGTCATCTCGGCTGGGGAATGGGCCTTTTACATCATTTCTTTTCTGGAGCTGGGTCAATGCTGAAGCTCTGAAATGAAATGGGGGTGTCCTCCTTCCTCCATTTCTTGTTTCCGTTCAGAGACAAGTCAGGAAAGTTCGCTGAGTCGAGATGTTTGTTGCTCGAATGTGCTGGAGCCGCCTGTAACAACATAGCTGGGGCAGGGCGAGGTTGCGGGGGAATAGGAAATGAAAACCTTTTCAGCCCCAAAAAATTCATACAATGGCAAAAACCCAAAGCAAACCAAAGCTAAATATAGCGGGGCCCGTGAGTTTGGGCTTCGAGTTTGACTTCTGCTGAATGCTTGTGGTGGAAAAGAAATGGGTAGCTTTTAAAACAACAAAAAAAAAACCCCAACAAAAGTCATCTTGTTGATGTGCTGCTTTGGGCAGCTTTTTGCTGGGGTGTTGGGGCAAGAAGCATCTGCGCGGAGCCCCGGGGGTGGCTTTTTAGCTTAGAAACATGCACTTGAAGAAATAAGGTATCTTTTAAAAATGACACGTCAGCTGGAGCAACGTGTTCCAGCGTAATGTCCTGGGTTTAGTGGTTTATGCAGGTTTTGAGTTGGATTCACATGCTGGGGTGGCCCTTGGTGGTGCTGGGGGTCAGGGAATTGCCGTGGGGATGTCGTCGGGCCGTCGCAGCGGGCAGGACCGTGGGACGTGCATGGGGCCAGGGTTGAGATCAGCCGTTTCCCCTCTCTGCAGCTGCACTAGGGCTTTATCTGCTGGCAGCGATTCCCCTCGCTCTGCTCCCGCCTCCCAGCGCCTGGGCTGGGGTTTCAGAGGGTTCCGACGCGACGTTTTACACTGGCCGGGGCTGGGGCTGTGCCCGCAGGAGCCGCGGCTGGTGCAGGCGTTTCTCTCACGCGCTGGGAGACCTTCCCCCGAAGTTCTGGTTTGCGCCGCCGTTTTTTTAGCAGCTCCCCAAATACACATAAAAATGACAGCTGCCTCTGAACTCTCTGTTTCCCTCCTCTGATTTTCTCCGTCCGGAGCAGATGGCCGGTGCCGAAGCTGTTGGCGTGGCCTCCTCTGGCACCAGCGTGGGGCTCGTTGAGATGCTTCGGGGTGCCCCAGCTGGGTGCTGCTGGTGGGACCTCAATTTTAAATGGCTCTGAGGATGCGGTTAGAGCGGGCGAGCTCTTTGCACCGACTCTGATCCCCGAAAGCCGCTTGCTGGTGCTTTGTGGGGTTGCCACGAGGCTTCAGCCGGCTCTGGGTGCAAACACCCATCCACATCACCCTGCCTGGAGCCCGTCACCCCAAGGACAGGCAGCGGGACAAACCCGGGGGTAATTTCTGTGGGGAAGCCGTGGTCCCCAGTGTGCTGGGTGCTGCGCGCAGGGATGCACCCCAAAACTTCACGTGCATAGAAAGGGAGCCAGGATGCTCTGGCAAGGCTGGGGGTAGTGCATGGTATGTTGCAAATCCTCAGCAATGCTTTAACTATTTCCCCCTGTTTTTTACCCAGACTCCAAAGTCTTCCTCATCTACAACACGGGCGCGCAGGGCTGCCTGGAGACGAAGGACTCGCTGGTGAGACTCGCCAAGGGCTGCAACGCCAGCGCCCCGGCCCAGCAGTGGAAATGGGTCTCGCGCAATCGCCTCTTCAACGTGGGGGCCATGCAGTGCCTGGGGGTGTCGTGGCACGGGGCCAACGCCACGGCGGGGCTGCACCCCTTGGCCACCTACGAGTGCGACCGCGAGTCCGTCAACATGCGCTGGAGCTGCCGCGGCCTCGGGGAGCAGCTCTCGCAGCATCTCGGCGCCCGCCCGGGCAATTCCTCCGTGGACAGGGGGGACCAGGCGCGTGGCTCGCAGTGGAGGACGTATGGCACCGAGGAGGATCTGTGCTCCGTGCCGTACTCTGGTAATGCCTCGTTGGGCATTAGTATTATCCCGTAACCCAAACCAGTCCCGAAACGTAAGCTGAGGCCGAGGTGCTGCAGCAGTTGGGTCCTGCCTCTGGAGCTCAGTCCCAGTTTGCTGGTGCTGCAAAACCAGGCAGGATCGGGGTGATGGGGAGCGGGCAGCCTCTGGGCACCCCACTAGCTCCCGCACTGGGCCAACCTGTGGAGCTCCCCACAGACGCTGCCTTCAGCAAGGGCTCCTCTGTTTCTCCAGAGATTTACACCATCCAGGGCAACTCGCACGGGAAGCCGTGCACCATCCCCTTCAAGTACGACAACCAGTGGTTTCACGAGTGCACCAGCACGGGGCGGGAGGACGGCCATCTCTGGTGTGCCACCACCCAGGACTACGGCAAGGACGAGCGATGGGGCTTCTGCCCCATAAAGAGTAAGTCGGGGGGATGTGTCCCATGGGGAAAAGGAGAAACCCCCTGTCTGTCCTTCCCAGGGGCTTTCCTGCCTCTTCCTTTTCCTCCTGCCTTGTCCCTCCTCCCATGAGCAGCCTGCGGTGCCAGAGCAGCCCTGCTGGCTTCTCTCTCTCTGGCTTTTCTGCATTATTGGGGTCTTCTGGAGCTGTGGACGAGGCTGTATTGGGTGCTCACTCTGCTTGTCTTCGCAGGCAATGACTGTGAGACCTTTTGGGACAAGGACCACCTCACCAACAGCTGCTACCAGTTCAACTTCCAGTCGACGCTGTCGTGGCGGGAAGCCTGGAATAGCTGTGAGCAGCAAGGGGCCAATCTGCTGAGCATCACTGAGATCCACGAGCAGACCTACATCAACGGTGAGATGATGGCAGCCTGGCTGGACCCCTGCCCTCCTCGCCCGGGATAGAGCTGGTGACACCGTGGCTGTTACTAGTGCCACGTTGCTCTGCCTGTCCCAAGTGATTGGCTTGGGGCTGGGGCTTGAGCTGGGGCTGGGGGGACTGATTCTGCCCCTCTGGCTGCATCGGTCCCAGGGCTGTTGACGGGCTACAGCTCCACGCTCTGGATTGGGCTCAATGACCTGGACATCAACGGAGGCTGGCAGTGGTCGGACAACTCGCCGCTCAAGTACCTCAACTGGGAGAGTGGTGAGATGGGGGGGGACATGGTGGTGATGGGCAGGCCAGGGAACAGCCTGTGGGCCACCAGAGATGGCCCCATGGCAGGGAAGGTGGCCCAGACTGCTGTGGGGTGCCCCATGTTGCCTGGGGATGGAGAGTTTCGTGGGGCTGTGGAGCAGCCTGGGACGTCCATGGAGCTGGAGGCCGGACACGGTGCTGGAAGGGGGGTTGTCCCTCTGCAAGCCCTCAGCCGGCCTGCAGATAACCTGGGTGGAGCTTCCCTGTTTGGAGGGTCATTGCATCCCAGCTCGGTGCTGGAGGGCAGCTGAGGAGTGGTTCCCAACTGTGGACACCCATCTCTAACCCTGGGGTGCTCAGGGGACAGAAGGACTCCAAGGGCTGCTCTGGTCATGGCCGGTGCCATCACCCAGAGGCACTCGTGGGGACAGTGATACCCCAGGAGGAGGTCTGGGGACAGACAGGAGCTGTTCAGGTCTGGTACCATGACTCCCTGACTGCCATCAACATTTCTAGGTGAAATAGTGGTGCTCCAGGTTCTCATGCGTTGAGGCACGATAAATAATCCTGGGCAGGCAGGGTCACATCTTCATCGTGCAAAGTAACAAAATAAATAGGTCTTTGCTGGTGTGGGAGCAGGCAGAGCTGCTCCCTGCTGGCGCCTGCCCTAGTGCTGTGCCCTGCCTGCCTGGGCAGCATTGGTGGCTCTGCCCCAGCTCCTCAGCAGCGTGTCCCCCTCGCCCCACTTTCCAGACCAGCCCGACAACCCCAGTGAGGAGAACTGCGGGGTGATCCGCACCGAGTCGTCCGGGGGGTGGCAGAACCGCGACTGTGGCATCGCCCTCCCCTATGTCTGCAAGAAGAAGCCCAACGCCACCGCTGACCCCTTCCTGACGGGTGAGTGGGGGGATTGGGAGCACCAGGAATTGCAGCCCCATATCCCGGCCAGCTGTACTCCCAGCCCGGCATGGCCACGGGATGCGGCCCATGTGCCAGAGCTTGCTGGTGCCCTGGATGTACAGAGCTGTGGCTGAGCTCCCCAGGGTTGCCTGGATTTGGAAAAAGACCTCCCCGAGGAGTAACCCCCAAGCAGCGCTCGGTGCAGTTACAGGTTGGGTGGCAGGGGAGGAATTGAGAGCAGCAGGAGGTCCCCCGTGGTCCGCAGGGGATGGGCTACTCTCTGCTCTGCCATCACTCCGCTGCAAACAAAAGGGATTTTGTTTTGTCCCCGGAGCTCTAAAGCCGCGGTTGCCCACACCTTGCCATTGTGTGCTACACTTTGGTTGTAGCTTTCTCGCTGTTGCTTTGGCTTGGTCTCCTGAGCACCCTGTGGGACTGTGGTCCCCTCGCTGTGGTCTCCTCCCTGCCAAGGAGGGAGTTGGAGAGCAGGACAGGAGCCCTCAGGCTGCCTTGTGTCCTGCCAGACTCGTGGTCAGAGGTGAAGGTGGACTGCGAGCCCAGCTGGCAGCCCTTCCAGTCCAACTGCTACCGCCTGGTGGGAGAGAAGAAGAGCTGGCAGGAGGCGAAGAAGACCTGCCTGCGGAGCGGGGGGGACCTGGTCAGCATCCACACCCTCTCTGAGCTGGAGTTCGTCACCAAGCAGATCAAGCAAGGTAAGGGGGAACCTGCTGTGTCAGCAGCATCCTTCCCGCCCAATTTTGGGGTCCACAAAAAGGTCAGTTCTGTGTGGTGGGCGCTGCAAAGTTGAAATAATTTGTGGCTGTGAAGGGAGTGGAGACCCCCGGCTGGGAGGTGGTGTGTTGCTTGGAGGAGCCCGTGCCCCGGGCACATCCTTCATCCAGCAAATATACAAGCTGTTCCTGGGAGCCTGCAGTGCTGAGGAGGAAAACACGCAGCTGCAGCTGGGAATGGCACTGGATCCAGTTGGTTAATGTAGAAGAAGATGGGAAAAAAAGTCCTGCTGGGCTTGCTGGAGGTGGCAGCACCTCTTACTCCTAAATCTGCCCAGGGCAGGAGTGTCCCCCGCAGCAGGTGAAGTGAAGGGGGGACGCCTGCATGCGGCATCCCAGGTTTCTCTTCTCAGTTCTGGCTTCACCCAGGTGTAATTGGGTTGAAGTTTCCCATGTTGGGATGTGTCAGAGCTGGGATGGTACTTGGGAAGTTTCAGCCCGAGCAGTCACACATACAGGGGAGCACCCGTGTCACCCTCCTCCAGACCCCGCTTGTGCCACCCCTCATTCGGGTCACCCTTGGCTTGGGTTTTGGTGTTTCCAAATTACGCGCTCCCATGAGCCCACAGCCCGGCCCTGCTCTGCAGAGGAAGAGCCTGGCAGCGAAACCCACTGCAGGGACATCGGGGGACCCAGACTTCAGTGGGGACCGGGGAAGGGCTGGGGTCTGAAGGGAGCTAATGCTGAGGGAGGCAGGAGCCATGGCAGGGTGGAGTTTCTGCAGTGTTTCAGCCAGGCAGAGCAGATTTCACCCGCCCGACCCTCCTGTCTCGGCAGACGTGGAAGAGCTCTGGATTGGCCTAAATGACCTCAAGCTGCAGATGAACTTCGAGTGGTCGGATGGGACACCTGTGAGGTTCACGTACTGGCACCCCTTCGAGCCCAACAACTTCCGTGACAGCCTGGAAGACTGCGTGACCATCTGGGGACCGGTGAGAGCCTGGGGCCGGGGGTTCATCCTGCACCTCTGCTGAGATCACTGCAGCATCCTCATGGCTGGGGAAGGGATACCTCAGGGAGCATTTTGGTCTGGGGTTGAACCTGGCTCATCCCGGCTGTTGGGGTGGGAGGGATCCAGCAGAGCATCCTTGGGGATTTGATGTAGGGAAGGAAAATCTGTGGACCCAAGGTGGGGATGCGTGGGCTGGGAAATTCGCCAGGCTGTCGGATAGGCTCAGTCCTGCTCTTCTTCCCGCTGTGCAGGAAGGGAGGTGGAATGACAGCCCGTGCAACCAGACCCTGCCGTCCATCTGCAAAAAGCCTGGCCGGGTGAGCCAGGAGAAGGAGGAGGATGACCATGGGTGCCGAAAGGTGAGGGGCACCTGGGGCAGGAGGTGGCTCTGCCTGCTCCACGGCTCTGCCTGCTGCTCAGGGCTTCAGGGTCCCGCAGAGCTCTCCCCAAAACCATTTCAGGGAGCCCCAATGAGCAGCGCCAGGAGCTGCAGGTCTGTGCCTGGGGGCTGCCGGCACCACAGAGCATCCCAGGGCTCCTGACTTCTGTGGTTGCATGAGGCTGCGGGAAGAAATTGGGACAAAACACGTCTCCATCGTCCAAGATCCTCCCTCTTGGGCTGGCTTGGTTGCCAGCAGGGACGTTCTTATTTTTTTTCCCACTTGCCTCATTGTGTGCCAAAACCCAGCAGCAAAGCTGCTCCGTGTGGGAGCACAGCAGGACAGAGGGAGCTGCTGGCTCCGTGATGGCAGGCTGTGTTCTCTGGGCAGGGTACGGGCATTTCAGGGAGACGGCCACCAAACCAATGGGTTCTCACCCAGACTGTGCTCTGACTCAGTTTCCCCAGTTGTTGAATGGGGGCTGAGGCCACCCCGTTCCCACGCTTGCTGGGAAGTTGCTTTTGTGCCTCTTCGTGAAGTCTCTGAGCGGCGAGCCTGGCATCGCCACCGCTCTTGAACGTCTCCCAGCATTTCAAAGCAAGCCAGCGGGCGCTCACGCTCGGACTAGCAAGCAGCTCCTCTGGGCCAGCTCCCAGAGGTGCTGCCGGGCTCCTCCCAGGTCTTTACCCCGTCACAGCAGAGACAAACGCCAGCAGCCGCTTGGCTCTGCGAGAGCGCGGTGGTGTGCATGGCAGGTGGGCGAGCTGCCACACCGAACCAGACTCGGGGGGCTGCCAGCTGGAGCCGGAGGAGCCCCGGTGTTGGTGGGTGCTGGGGACGAAGTGCTCAGTGGGGCATGCACCAGCAGCAGTCCTGAGGACAAGTAGGATGTCCCCATGCAGATTTAACTCCCTCCTGCCTCTCCAGCCACAGTCTTACCCTGGCCCTGGGTGCCCAGCAGAGATGCACCTGCTGGGAAACAAACTGGGAGCGATAAAAGAACTGAGGAAAGACCTTTTCCTGCCATTCCTCCCCCTCCTCATCCTCAACAGGGCCATTTGCCACCCAGATGCTGAGGGAGAGGAGGCAGCATCTTGCTTGGAGGATCAGCCCCAGTCCTCTCCAGCCACCATGGTGTTTTTTCTTGGTGGCTTTGCTCCTTTTTCTGCCCCTTTATAAACCCCCTTTGTTTTTGGAACAGCCTTAAAGGAAGCAATGGGGGATGGAGGTCTGGGCGATGGGAAAAGCAGAACCAGAGAGGGATGCGGGGGCATGCTGGGATCAGGAGCTGGAGGCAGCAGTTGTGGTTGACAGTCCGATCCTGGCCCCTTTTTGGATCACGGGGGCTTGCTGCAGTGCTCAGTGCATGGGAGAGCACCCATGTGGTTTTAGTGATGCTGAGGCCCAGGGCTGGTTGGGGACCGCTCTGGGGCCATCTGCACCCCTCTGGGGACATCAGGGACCTGCACTGTCCCATGCTGGGCCCCTTTCTTGGCTGCTCAGGGGCATCTGTGCTGTTCTCTGAGGGGTCCAGACCTGGGTTTGCTAACTTTGGGGAAAGGCTGCAGCAGCAGAAACTTGGGGGAAAAGAATGGGATTTGGAGGCATTTTCCTCTTGGTTTACCAAAACTGCTCTCCCGCTTCCTTCCCCACCACGCTGATGATGCTGCAGATGGCACATGTCCCCCACTGTCCTTCCAATTCCCCAGGGCACCCAGGGGTAAAACCCATGGTGATGCTTAGTACCGTGCCAGGAGGGTCCCTGAGCCTGAGGCCACTTGCCTCCCCAGCTGAACCCCTTCACCCTTCCCACCCTGGCTTGCTCTTCCATCATGTGCGTGTCCCCTCTCACAGATGAGCCCCCATGTCCCTCCCCACACCGCCACTGCCAGCCCCGGGGCTGCCCCGCTCCCTGCTCTGGCAGAAAACAGGCGCTATTGTGTCTCCAGCCCCCGGAGAGGCTCCAACATCAACAAGGCGGGGGATTAAAGCAGGCTGCGGTGGGACTCGCTCTGGATTCAGCCCCGCGGCGTATAGAAGAGGATTGTGTTCCCCTCCCCGCGCCCCGGCCGGGGCTGGACGTTGGCAGAGAGAGCCATTTCCCCAGCTTTGAAGCTGCCTGGGTGTTTATTTTCCTTGCAGCCATGTCCTCTGGGGCCGGGGGCTTGTTAGAGCTCAAAGCTGAGTGGGGTCAAGCCGGGGCAGTCAGGGGCAGGGGACCTCCCAGGAGAAGGCGGAGGTGGTGGCAGGGGACGTGGGACATTGCTCTCCTCCGCGGGGTTTGCTCCTGTCCTCCTGGGGAGGGCTGGGGTAAGCGGTGGCAGACGTCCCCTGTCACCCATCCCCAGGGCTGGAAGTGGCACAGCCCCTCCTGCTTCTGGCTGGGCGAGGACCGCGTCCCCTACAGTGACGCCCGCAAGACGTGCTCCGACTACGGCTCCACGCTGGTCACCATCACCAACAGGTCAGTGCCACGCCGGTGGTGGTGGGTTTGCCCCAAAACGAGCCCCCCAAGGCAGGGTGTGACCTGAGGGCTGGGCTTTGCACGCAAGGGCTGCTTGGCAGCTCAGCTCACAGCATCGCCCGCTCTCGCCGCCCCTCCAGGTTCGAGCAGGCGTATGTTAGCAGCCTCATCTACCGCTGGGGTGGCGCTGCAGGACATCAATGAGACGGGTGCTTTCCGCTGGCTGAGCGGCGATGAGGTGATGTACACCCACTGGAACCGCGACCAGCCCGGTAAGGGGGTGGCCGTGGGTGGGATGGGGATGCCCTTTCCATGCAGGGTGGGTGCTGCCTCTGGCGCCCAGCGTGGTCCGACCCTCAGGCTGGCGTTCTCCCCGCTCCTGTGAGCGCTCCAGGTTACAACAAGGGCGGCTGCGTGGCCCTGGCCACCGGCAGCTCCATGGGGCTGTGGGAGGTGAAGAGCTGCAGCACCTTCAAGGCCAAATACATCTGCCGGCAGAACCTGGGCACCCCGGTCAACCCCGAGCTGCCCGGTCCCTACCCCACGCCCAGCCTCACCGCCGCCTGCCCCCTGGGATGGAGCTCCGACACCAAGCTCCGTCACTGCTACAAGGTAAGGGGTGCTGGGGGGGCTTGCTCTGGCCATTGTGGGGATGCATGTGCCTCTGCAGTGGTGCAGGGCAGTGAAGAAGCACGTTCTGGTGCTTACAAAGGGCAGGTCATGCCCCACAAAGCTGGTTTGGGCTGAGTGGTGACAGCGTGCCCTGGGATGCTGCTGCCTGTAGGATGGAGACGATGCTCTGCTCTTCTCCCAGTGCTGAGCCCCCTCTGGTGCCGGTTCCTCCTTCCCCAGGTGTTCACCTTTGAAAAACTGCAAGAGAAGAAGACGTGGATCGCGGCGCAGGAGTTCTGCCGGGAGCTGGGGGCCCAGCTGCTCAGCCTGGCCAGCTATGAGGAGGAACACTTCGTCGCCAACACCCTCAACAAGATTTTTGGGTGAGAGGCTGGCTGCACCGGCGCATGTCCCGCTGCCTGAGTGTGCTTGGCACGAGCCCACACCCCTCGCTGTCCGCTGGCCCATGTGGACGGGGTGTGGACGTGGCGCTCTGAGCACGAACTTGTGTGTAGAAGGTGCATCAGTTGGTGTGGCTACAGCAAAGGGGGGTGCAGAAGAAGTGCAGGAAATTCAGTGTGATTTGGGGATGGAGGCTGGATTTAAAACTCCTTCAGCCCTGATCCAGTGTGCCTGTTATCTGAGCTCCTGCCTTTGGGTCTTGTAGGGACAGCAAGCTTTGAAAGCAAGCAAAAAAAGGCCAGATTGTAAATATATATTTGTATATAAATACAAAAACCTCCGGTTTGGAGGGAGTTTTTGTTCTCACCCATCCCCGTGGATCCTGGCAGGGAGTCGGAGCCAGAGCTTCACGAGCAGCACTGGTTCTGGATGGGCCTGAACCGGCGGGACCCCGCGGGGGACAGGAGCTGGAGATGGAGCGACGGGTTAGGGGTGAGTCCGGGGGGCTTTCAGCAAGGGACTCCAGTTGGCATTTGGGGTGCAGGGGGGGCAATTCCGGTGCTGGTGGAAATGCCCAACACCGCCCGTCTCTCTCGACCCCCAGTTTTTCTACCACAACTTTGACCGCAGTAACTACGATGACGACGACATCCGGACCTGCGCGGTGCTGGACCTGGCCTCCCTGCAGTGGATGCCGATGCAGTGCGAGGCCCAGCTGGACTGGATCTGCAAACTGCCCAAAGGTACCTGGCGAAGAGGCCCTCAAACCCTCCAGCTTTGAATAACCTGGCAGAAGGTGGGCTTGTGGGGTGGTGGAGTGGGTACAGGGGAAGCTTCTGTCACCTCCCTTCTGAACGCTGCACTTTTATGGGAGGATGAGTCCTAATTCAGGGGCTGGGAGAGGTGTTATCCATCTTGGGGGATTTGGGAAGGCATCTCGCCCTTGGAGCCCATGGGCGGTTTGCGAGCAAGCATCAGCAGGAGCACCCCATCCCCGCAGCCCACTGACAGCCTCTCCTGGCCCTTTCGCCAGGTGCCGACGTGAAGGAGCCGGAGATCACGACCCAAGGTGCGTTGGCCATGGCCGTGTGTTCCTCCGGCGTACATCATCCTCCTCGGGCGTTTGCCACCCTGTCGCATGCGGGAGCGAGGCGCGGTCCCTGCGGTGCATCCATGCAGCGTTATCCGGAGGAGGACGGATCCTGTGGGGGGGTCATAGGAGGGAGGGGAGCGCAGGCATCCTGCTGCTCCGTGCTGCACAACATGGGCACGGATCAGGCCCCGCAGCTGGGGCAAAAGCAAAGCAGAGCCCAACCTGCGGGGGACCGAGGGACAGGGTAGCGGGCACTGGTGGCCGTGGCAGGGGGTGGCACAGCCACGGCGTGACACCGGTCCCTGCCTGCAGGCAGCAAAGAGTGGGTGAAGTACCAGGAGGCCGAGTACAAGTTCTTCGAGCACCACTCGACGTGGGTGCAGGCGCAGCGCATCTGCAGCTGGTTCCAGGCGGAGCTGGCGTCGGTGCACGGCGAGGCCGAGCTGCGCTTCCTCGGCCAGAACCTGAAGAAGGTACCGGGGGACGGGGACCTCCGCGGGTGCCAATGGGCTCCGCTGCCTCCCCGGGCTGCCCCCTCCCCAGCTTCTTTCATCCTTTGCTGGAGGGATGTTACTGGGGACAGCCGGGCTCTGCTGGGGTCACGATGGGTCTTGTGCGGTGGTGGCAGGTCCCCATGTCTGGGTGTGGGTTTGGGGCTCAGCGAGGTGGTGCTTTTTGCCGCGGGGCAAACCGCAGGGGGGCTGCCTGGTCCCCCCCTGCCTGGGGTGGCCGCAGTTGTCCCCAGGGACACCCAGTCCCTGCACAGCACTGACATGTCCTTCCCGGGCGTGCAGTTCTCCAGGGGCCAGGAGCAGCACTGGTGGATCGGGCTGCACACCTACGAGAACGACGGAAGGTTCAAGTAAGTCGGGACTGGGCCACCGCGTCCCCGCATGTCCCCATGCCGCCGTCCCCAGCTCTCAGAGCACTGTGGCTCAGCGCCTGCATCTCGGGGAGGGTCTCATCTTGGGGTGCTGGGATAGAGGTTCCTCACCCAAGAGAGAGCAGTGGTGGGGCGTGCTCCCAGTTAGGGCGTGCAACTGGTCCCATTTGGCAAGTCACTGCTCGGCCTCGTGCTCCCGCCGGTGCCTTTCCCAGGTGGTCTGATGGGTCCGTCCTCAACTTCGTCTCCTGGGCACCAGGCAAGCCCCGGCCCATCAACAAGGACAAGAAGTGCGTGTACATGACAGCCAGCAGAGGTGAGGGGCAGGATCCGGCCGTGCTGGTGCTCTGGAGGGGCTGGGGCCGCAGGCTGAGCGGAGACCACCCGCCCCAGTACAGCAGGGGGGGTCATGCCCGGCCTGTCCCTCCCCGCAGAGGACTGGGGGGACCAGAAGTGCATGACGGCGCTGCCCTACATCTGCAAGCGGAGCAACGGGACGGCCGTGAAGCCTTCGCTGCCGCCGCTGCCCGCTCCCGTGAGCGGGGGCTGTCCCCACGGCTGGTTTCCCTTCCTGAGCAAGGTACAGCAGGACGGGGAGGGGACGGCCACCTCCTGGTGTGGTCTTCCTCCAGCCCCGCCGAGGTGGAGAGGTGGTGGCTGAGAAATGCCAGGACGTGGAGAAGGACGCGTGCACGTATTTTGGGGGAAATGTTGGGGAGTGCGTGCACAGGGATGCTGGGAGAGGTGTGCTGCGGAGTGTGGGTGCAGGACGGGGTGGTGAGGGTGCGTGCAGATGGATGCCGGGAGAGGTGCACTGTGGGGTGGGAGTGCAGAAGGGGTTGGGGGCCCAGTAGGCATGAGGGTGCAAAGGGGAGAAGGGCTGTTGGGGCAGAATGACTGTGCAGGGAGTGGTTGAGTGGGGAAGGTGCAGGGGTTGGGGGCCGGGGGCAGCTGCACCCCCTGGACTGTCCCGTGTCCCTGCTTGTGCAGTGTTTCAGCTTCAATGGCCACGACAAAGCCGAGATAGTGAAGTGGCCAGAGGCGAAGCAGGCGTGCGAGAGCCAGGGCGCCGTCCTGGCCACCATCGCCAGCCCTCTGGAGCAGGGTAGGTCCCTCCCGCCCCCACCGGCCGCGCTGGCTGGG